CACTCCTTCCAGCCACACTCTCCTGAAATGAGTCTTCTGCGGAGGCCTTTGAGTCGGTTCCCTCTCCCTGGAACATTTTTGCTCCGAGTGACCTCAGATCTCACCCCATTCTTGAGGTTTCTGTTGAATGTCACCTTCCCCAGCCATCCCCTATAGAAACTTCCCTACCCCCACTCTGCAGCACCTTCCTTCGGGGCACTTGGCTGCCAGCTCGCCGGGTGTCCTCTGTCTCTTCCCCACCCACGAGGGACATTAAGCCCCGCTCTGTTCAGTGGCACTGTTCTCACACTGAAGTAGTGCTGGGGACTAGGAAGCCCTCAGCAAGCATGGATGGGGAAGGGGGGGGCGAGGGAGTCACTGTGCTACCCTTTTTTTTTTTCCAAACATTTATTTATTGTGTGTGTGTGGCCAGCTCAGCCCACTATGGGGCGGCGCTGGCTGGCATGTGGTGCTGGGGGATTGAACCGCGGTCCCTGGGCTTTGCCAAGCTTGTTCTAAGTAGGTACTTTAGACCACTGAGCCATCTCGCCAGCCCGTTACCCTTTTTTTTTTTTATTTTTAATTTTTGTCTTTTTGAGACAGGGCTTCACTGTGCAGTTCAGGCTGGCCTTGAGCTCACTTTGCAGCCCAAGATGGCCTCAAACTTGCAGTGATTCTCCTGCCCCAGCCTCCTGTGTGCTGGAATCACAGGAGTGTGCCACCATGCCCGGCTAGGCTAAATGTTAAAAAATACTTCCAATTTCATGTCCCCCAGAGATTTGCAGCCCACTGCCTAGTTGGACACGTGAGCTGTGTGACTTGCAGCCTGATTTGTCGTGTAAACTACGACTACCAGGGCCACAGTAAGTGTACGGGAGTATGCCCGGCTTCAGGGGCAGGGAGCTGGCTGTGCTCCTCAGTGCCATCTGAAAGGGAAGAGAGGGCTGCGTGGAGGAGGGAGCCTTCGAGCTACAAAGACTAAGTCTAGAGCTCCTGGGGCATGCACCCCGGGCTGCGGGAGGAGTGGGGACTCTAAGGGTCGCTATGGCTAGTAAGTCCCTGCTAGGCCCCAGGACACCGGCCGCCGCTGCGCCTGCCTGCCCCATACCCGGCAGCAGGTGCACGCAGGGACGGCAGCTGAACAACAACTCGGCCAGGCAGCCCCAAGTCCAATGACTGCCATGTTCTTCCAGGCTGACCAGAAGTCCTTATCACTCAGGTCTCAGATTCTGCTTCTGGCCTGTGAGGTGGAGAAGCTTGTGTGTTACCTTTAACATCCCCAAGGCACGAGCTGCTTCCCTCACACATTACACCCCCCACCTTTTCCACCTTTTCCTTCAGTGTAAGTAATGAAAAATGCACGTGGCCCAAAGCAGAAAGACCCAATTACTGGCGCTCTAGTGCAAACAGAAGCCATCAATATCCTAGTTTGTAGCAGTTGGGAGAAATTAAGCACATAGCAACGAAGGAAAACTGGGCTCCCGTGGAAGCCACTCACTAAAGACCCTCGGCACAGAACTCAGGGGTCCAAGGAAGTGCACCACAGTCCCTTGACTCATTAATGGCAGGCAGCAGGCATGTGCCTCCCCCACACCCTGGGGAATGCCCAGGGACCTCAGCTCTGGCCACCACAGCTTTTTTTCTTTTCTTTTCTTTCTTTCTTTTTTTTGGAGACAGAGTCTCACTACTAGTTCAAGCTGGCTTTGAACTTACTATGTAGCCCAGGCTGATCTTGAACTCAAGGTGATCCTCCTGCCTCAGCCTCGCCAGTGGTGGGACTGCAAGTGTGCAATACCACACCTGACTCAAGATTTCTACTTGTTTTTATTTATTTTCTTAAATTTTTATTTATTTATTTATTTATTTATTTATTATTTATTTGTGTGTGTGTGTGTGTGTGTGTGG